CCAAAAAATGTAAGAAGAATGATGGAAACTCAGTGTCTGGGGTGTGACCCCACCGCTAGACAACTAACACTTTATGTGGTAAAAAAGGAATTGTGTGACAAGTAATTGCCTACGAACCGACACAGACAAAGAGTGAAAATAAATAAAGACATGGTATTTCACAAGACAAGACATTTAATTTATTTGCCTACAAAACACATGGACATGTTGTCCTTTTGCGAACTGAAGCCAGATGTGCCCCACGTCCTAAAATTAATACACGATTTTCCTGAAAGGAGGGAACGCATTTAAAGATGTCTTGCATGGCCTTTCCCACGCCTTTGATCGAGATTTCAAACACACTTTCAGGATTCTCAGTTAGGCGGGACTTGTACAAATCCCGACAGTGTACAATTAGCAAAGTACACAACTAGGATATCACAACCACTGGCTTAACAAGACGGACAGGGATGGCCGATATGTAGAGCTGGTATATAATATTGGCTTAGAATCATGAAATGATTGGATCTGATCCACATATTTAACCTAGAGCGCATTCGAAGACACCTTGATTTGATACATTCGAGTAAAATTCAACGCCGAAAACAAAATGCGCTAAAGAAACATAATGAGAACCTATACCGCGAAAATACTGAAAAAATAAATATCATCACTTTTTTCTGATCCTTTCTGGTCAAAGGCATGGCCTTTTCTGCCAAGCAGTCCGCAAGTAGGTGATCTGCAAACGAACTGCTGTCCTTACTTGACATTATTTACAGGGTTTTTATTACAAAAGTAAATAAAAATAACAAACATTGTGAGATCAGACATAGCTTGGCTAGTTGGTTTCGAAAAACATACGAAGTTAAATAAAATTGACATTTTTCGAGAGAAAATCAATTTACCGGAAGCATTATTTAAAATTTAAAGTCTAAATATTTTGAAGATTTTCTTTACTTGATCAACACAAACTTCATTTCCATTTACTTCCATCTCAGAGCACGCTAACATGAACATTCCCGTTTGCCAAAAGTTTAGTCCAAAAGAAACTGCTGTCGTGATGTAAACGTAATAAACGGCAAAATAAATTAGCGAGAAACAAGCAAACGAAAAACAAACACCTATCATCGTACAAATCAGTCAGGTATCCGAAGCCCTCGGTAAAATTGTGCTAGAGAGGGGGAAGGAAAATTACGCTGCCTCTGGGTGAGACTTGGTCCCATTGCTTACGTATGTTTGAAGGGCAAGCGATCAGGCAGGCCAGCAGGCGATGGGGCCTTGCACCCAGAGCAGTCCGTCATAGGAATGTGCTTGACCCTGTCTGTGCAGCAAAGTGAAAGCGGGAAGGGGATGCGCAGGGATGGAGACACGGTGGCATGATGGCCGGGGCAAGGGAAAATACACAAGTTCATTAAAACATGTCATTCAAATCCAGGACATTTATCAAGTAGAAATTTTACTAAATTTGGGTTTGCTGAACACTCCCACTAAGGAATGTCGCAGTGACATCCTGGACCTTCAAACAAAGAGCTAGAATTTGCTTTCCCTCGACCAGAGACCCTAAGCCTACAGCATTCGGAGGTGAGATTACAGAAACCCGCGTTGCGCGGTACTTGTATCAAAACATTGAAAATAGTTTAAA